ATAGGAAGGGAGGCGAGGAAGGGGGTTGGAAGGTGGGAAAGGACCATCTACCACCTCTGCACCACTCATGCATCGTCCCCCCCCCTGCAACAGGGTGCTGTATTCGGATGAGAGAGTGAACTCCTGCTAGTAGAACCATCTAGCACAATGCTGGGCGTGCGTGCCCTTGGCAAAAGAGATCAAATCTTCCATACGCTCAATTTCGCCGATCTTCCGCAGCCAGAGAGAAATCGAAGGGGGTCTGTTCTGCTTCCACAGTTCAGTGATACAGCATCTTGCCGCGTTAAGCAGGTGAGGCAGCGGATAAGTGTACTTTAACCTCTTGCCGTCCGCCCGTAGTAAAAAAACGGACGGACGGCACTGCTACATCTGCGGGTTGCCGTCTCCAGACGGCAATTCACTTACCCTTTTTGCCCCTGTACCTTGACCTAACCTAACCCAAAACTACGCCTTCACTTATGTGTACTGTCCTAGATCCACTGGCCGCAGCCTCCGGTGTTTGTTTACAGCCAACGCCACAGGTTTCACTCTCCCGGCTGCACCTGCGCATTATGACCCCACAGAACTCAAATAGCACTGTGCCCTGAGGCGGCCCCTGAAAAGTCTATGGGGCTGCAATGCCTAGGCGCAGCCAGAAGATTGAACACTTGCGGTGCAGGATGTAAACAACACTGGAGGCCGCAACCATCAGATCTAGAAACGTACGCATCTTTGGAACTACGGCCAAAACCTTCATTTATTTTAATTTGGGGAATGATCTAAAAACTTTTTCAGGTTTTTACTAGATTTGTTTCAGAGAAATTTCTCTTGCTGAGATTTGACAGTAAACTGAAGAATACTTGTTCCACGTAAAGAATTCAGAAAGCAATAAAGCAAGAGGATCAGCACTACATCATTTTTTGGAAGGAAGAATCAGCAATGGCAGCCTCCATGTTTCTGTTTTGACAGGTTCCCTTTAAGAAACCGTTGTAAAAGGACTTTTGTGTGCAACTATGACAAAATGTAGGATTGTTTGAAGGCGATCTGTATTTCCATGGCTTAAATTAAACACACTGCCCTCAATGGAAGGTTCACAGCCCACAGGAACCGCAAGCAAAATAATTACACTGCAGTCAGAATAATTGATCTTCTGCGTAACCTCTATGTCCTTCACAGCAAACAACCCTTCTCATTAAATACCCCTCAAGGGTCCCAAAAGCCCCTGCACACTATAGCATACTTTTCCAGGGGGTCCTCCATCTTTCTCAGGTTCTTGTGGAATCTGGCCGCCTGGATGTCCTGGGTCTCAATCTTGGAGGGTAACAAACCTTGCAGTCCAAGGATCTGCCTTTCCTGCAGCGTGAATGCCATTCCCTAAACAGACACAGAAAGATCAGAGGTTTATAAGTTGGGTCAGTTGGAACATATAGAAGGAATGTACAGTACTTTTTAAAATTTATTTTAATACATAAGTACATGGGAATGTAATCACTTTATACCCATTGAGCGCAAAGAAACAGGTTTCCTTTAATATCCCGTTTCCAATAGTACATACACCTCTTTCCTTTATTTCCCCCCAGCCATTCCATTCAGCCCCCAGGAATGAAGACAGGAAGCCGCATGAACGCTCTAATTTCCTCTAAATCAGCCAATCTAGATAGCTGAACGAAGCAGTAAGGCCTTGTTCACACCAAGCGCAGAGCAGATCAGTTGCAGACCGGATCAAAACTGCGTCCAATGTATTCCAATGGTATTTTTTGCTCCAGTTCACATCACAGCGTTCAGTTACAGAGCAGGTCCAAAGCAGGTGAAAAAACTGCAGCAGGCCCTATTTTACCTGCTCTGGATCTGCAAACGCATCAAAAACGCATGCAAATACCTGGAATGCACTGAAAGCCCATTTTAAACTTTAAAACAATATTTTATTTTATCAAAAACGCGTCAAACCGCATCTAAAAGACTAGCGTGCGTGTGCAGAAATCTGACCAGATCTGTTCTGCATTTGGTGTGAACAAGGCCTAAGGAATTTTAGATTGTAAGCCCTCAGGGGCAGGGCCCTCCTTACCATCGTGTCTTGAATTGTATTGTAATGTCTTCCTTATATTGTCAAGCGCTGCGCAAACTGTTGGCGCTAAATAAATCCTGTATAATAATAATTATAATAATAAAGAAAAGAAGAATATGAAGAATATTTATAAATCTTCCGTGCAGCCATACCCTGGGTCACCACTAGATGGAGCCTAGGAAACTCCTATAATCCTCAGCTCCATCTATTGGCAGGAATGCCATGCAAACAGCATTTGCCCAGCATATGACTGGGCGGAAGATTGATGAATAGATCCTTATGTGTTGGTGGGTAGGAGTAGTAAATGGCAGACCCCTTGGGGTCCCAAAAGCCTACTGACACAATCATTCTTTTGGCATAATGCTGCAGGCAAGGGACTAGAGATGTGAGGCAGGGTCACTTGAAGGACTGAATGGCAAACCACTTGGGGCCTCATAAGAATACTGACACCATCATACCTTTGGCATAACGCTGCAGGCAAGGAACAGGAGATGTCAGAGGCAGGGTCACTGATGCTCAGGCAGATGCCACAAATTGGTGCCTCTCACATTTCCGACTTCTTAAGCTAGCCATACATGATGTTGATTTGAAAGTCAGCTGAGCAGAATGGAAAATTCTCGGCCAGCCAGCGACTATATACAATTAGATGCAGTCAGTGTTCAGGTATTCAGACGGCTGTGGGTGCCGGCACTGAAGACTTCAAGTTATTTTCTCTGGTTCAGCCCACACGCTGATGAGAAGAAAAAAAAATCTTTATGTGCATGGCCAGCTTTAGGCTAGAAACATCAGAGAATCAGCAGGCCTATCAGGGGCCGCGTTGGGTCACATATAGGCAATAGCTAGCTCTTTTTAGCTATACTACAGGCAGGCAAGCTCGGTGAAAGGACAAAAGGAACTATTCATGTGATTCGATTGCATTGCTCCCACACTGGAGGGAGTTTCTGCACGGTTTTGTCCTGTGAGAGAGCAATGCTAACCGCTGACTATTCCAGGATGGCTAGTACATCACGGGCCCCACTGTCTCCCTCCATCAATTCATGTCGACTTGTTTGCCCTTATAGAGTTAAAAGAACAGACATGGAAGTCATCTAATTGTATCTCAGCATCATTGATATCAGCCTTTCCCCACCAGGGTGCCGTGAAAAGAGGGGGACTCTGATGTAAAAGGGGGGCTCCTGATGTAAACGGGGACTCAATGTGAAGGGAAACTAATTTTTTGGGCGTTTTAGCGTAGGGCCCCCCTTAAAATCCATTACATTTTATAATGTGGTGCCTCAGGATTTTACAGGTTGACAAACGCTGCTCTATATAACCTGTTTAAGGGCCGGTTCACACCATAAAGAGTGCGTTCCAGAGCGTTCAGCCTCTGGAACGCAACCCGGCCGGCTCACTTTGTTTTGCGATGGAAGGGGGCGTGGCAGCGCATTGATGTCAATGGTACCGCAGCCATGCCCCCAGTGCGATCACCCGCACCAGAACACGTGCCGCATTAGTGCCTGCGTTCCGGTCCAGTGCAATCTGCATAAATAGTGCATACAGCAATTTTGCAGAGCACACTGGTCCTGAACGTAGGTACTAATGTGCCATTCGTTTCGGGGGCCGTTGATCGCACGACGGGCGTGGCTGCGGTGCCATTGACTTCAATGCACTGCCACGTCCCCTCCAACCCCAGAACAAAGTGAGCCGGCCGGGTTGCGTTAAAGTGGCCGAACACACTTTTTAAAAGGTGTGAACCGGCCCTAAACTTGTCAACCTTTAGAGACATCATAGAAAGCTTAGCACATGAGCTCCCCCCCCCAAAAGCCTGACTGTAGCCAAACATTTTTTGGTATTGAAAAAGGGAAAAAGAGATTTTTGGCTTTTACTTACAATTACTATTTCTCCACTTCCTGGTGGTATGGGGCACTGGTGATGTAGCCCTGACCTCACAGATGCATCCTGGGAAGGTTAAATCTCCATCCTGGGAAATCTCATTTGTAAAACTGCAAAATCTCACAAGATCTCGAAAATAAATTTTTCTCCCTTGAGATGATGTGCATTGTCGCATGTTCCAGAAGGCAGAACAAGAGTTCCAGGAAGTAAAGGGAGATGGATTAATCTGCCCTTACAGTGGACCTTTACCCATGTCTTTAAAATAACAACAAAGACACCTTTAGAAATGTTTAGTAATGACAATCTACAAATAATACTTCTAGATAATTGCTTTGTATTCTCTCCAAACCTTATTTTCTTTTCTTCCCCAGTGGCCATGTTTACTAAGGGCAGATTATTAGCTCTCCTTTTACTTCCTGGATTTCTGGCACATGTGACTAGGACATCATCTCAGGGGAGGAAAATGCCTTTCCCTGGAGGTCTCGTAAGATTACAGATGAGATTTCCCAGCAATGCTGATAAGACAATCCCAGTGTGCAATGCGTTGGCAAACTGGAGTCATTTTGCCTTTCAAAGCAGGAAGTGAATGCTCTGCAAGTGTAAGGATTTCACAATCACAGCATTTTACACCTGACATGTCTATGTTGTTATTCATCATCATACATAGAGGGATGCATTGGTAGAATTAGATTTTTGAGCATAAAGGTCCGCTTTAATAAAAAATGGCCGCCATGGGAAGAAAGAGAGAATACAAAGCCGGCAATTATCTAGACGTGTGCGTGTGTAGATTGTCATTACTAAACATTTCTAAGGAGCCAGTGTTGTCATTAAGATAAGGGTGAAGTTCCCCTTTAATAAGGTCACATGGGTTTGATGAGCGTTGACTATTCTCGGGTAAAGCAGTGGAGCCCCTCACCTTGTTGGTCCTAGGACTAAGCAGAAGCGCTTTCCCCTTTTCTTTGGTGTGTACGAAGCGCCGTGCCGCCGTTCCCACATTTACCAGGACTCGGAGTCTGGACAGCATCTTGAAAACCTGAAAAACATAAACAGGAAATGAAAATATATTTGTCATTTGAATCACTGTAAATATATCCATGTCGTCCATTTTTTAGATCATACAATAATAAACGCTGGCATTGCAGAGACAGGCAACGGGCAGATGTATAGTAGTAGTGTAGTGTACATTTTATTAGGATGTTTTTAGTATATTGCATATGTGAATATTGTCATCATGTCTCTCAGTGTTAGGTTTGCCGGGTTATGCTCTATTGGAGCGTGTCCCGGAATTAATCAGCACTTAGTGTAAACCATTGGAGTAGATATCTTCCTGTGGATGTGGAGACGCGGCCGCTGTGAGCAGAGATCTGCGCCAGCGAATGGTCCATGTGCTATGTGCTGGGCTGTTGGCCGGGGGAGATTGAGGTGCATTGCGGAGCGGTGTCCTCCTGGCGAGTGTATGGGTGCCGACGAGGGCCCCTGCTTAATGCGCAGTTTTATTTCCTCGGCGTGGGTACATTTGCTTTGAGAACGCGGTATCATTTCGGATATGTATCTGCCTTTATGAAAGGAACATTCGCTCGTATCTTTTTGGTGCGTCTGATCAGCGCGCCGGAATATGGCGTTGTCCCTGCAGATAAGCTCGCATTCATAAGAACCGTAGTATACCGTATTTTGCGGTCTATAAGACGCTCCGGACGATAGGACGCATGGCTTCTGTGACAGAAATTCTATGACAGAAATTGTCACAGAAGCTGCAGTTAGTGACGGCTGAGACAGGTGGCGCTGTCTCAGTAATCACACAGAGCAGACGAAGAACGTCGTTCTTCGTCTGCTCAATGGGCTCTATTGTGAGCTCCTATGGGGGATCGTGACGGGTCACAGTCCCGCAGAGGAACGGTGGACCCAGAAAACCTCGGCGGGGGGCGGACACTATCGCCGATGCCGCTCGATTTAATACAAGGGATCTACTTAGATCGCTTGTATTGAACGAACAGCGGCTCCCACTGTACATTCAGCTCTGCTTGTCAGGAGCAGGGCTGAATGTACAAAAAGAAACTACTCGCCCGGCGCCCAAAACTGCATGTCCCGGGTGTCGGGCGATAGGTATTCGCTCCATAAGAGGCAGGCACATTTCCCCCCTCCTTTTGGGGGGAAAAAAGTGCGTCTTATGGAGCGAAAAATACGGTAATTTCTATTGGGCATTGCTCACTGAACAATGCTGGATAGAGTTCGCTCCAGTGGTAACGGCGAGAGTGTGTGCGCAGGTCTGGTTGAGGCAGCATCCACAGTCAGCACGCTGCTTCCTTTGTGTAAGTGTTTTGGCGGGAAATCCATTGCACATGGTTTTCCATTGTTAACAAATGTGCACGTGAGACATGAACTGGCAGCTTAAAACTGTGCACGGTGCTTCACGTGCATGAGCATACACTCCTTTTCTATTGTCTATTCAGATGTATACATGTGTTTCATTGGCTGACTTATGTAAATGAATGAGGAAGTGGTGGCTGTTGTAGCCAGGACTTCCTGCTGTTACCCCTATAAATAAACAGATCTCACTCCATTCAGGACAGATACTGAGAATCCAAGGTGACAACAGCTGTGTCTGTTTCCTTGGGACTGCCGAGCGAGCTTGAAGAAGTTATACGGGGAGAGCAGAGAACTGTGCTTCTATGTGCAGGAAGCGTATATTCATTTCTATAACAGTAGGTGGTGGAAGCATCCAATTGCCCAACATGGGACTTCTGTTCAAAGCTGCACAGAATAATTTAACGTTCGGTCTCAAATTCGGAACCAGAGTTTACACCTTGAAATTGGTCACCTTTAAGTGGACCTGTGCTTTGCCCATGTAGCATAACGTTCACACCAGCCTCGGTGCGTTCTGGCCCAATTCTGGTCGGAACACACTGGATCACATTCCGGCTAGAATTGTTTTGGGGCGGGCACGGCGCCCTTCCGGCCGTCGTGCGATCGGCCGCACAGGAACACGTGGCACATCAATGTCTGTGTTCTGGTCTGGTCCGAAAAAATGCTGCAAGCACTATTGTTTTTCTTACCGGACCAGAACGCAGGCATTGATGTGCCACGCGTTCCCGTGCGGCTGATCGCACTACGGCCGGAGGGCGTGGCTGCGGTGCCATTGTGTGAGCCTGCTGGAATGCGATCCAGTGCGTTCTGGCCACAAATCGAGCCAGAACGCACTGAGGCTGGTGTGAACGGGCCCTAAAGGGTATCTATGGTCAAAAACTAAAATAAAGTATGTCATTTTTTTTTAAAGTTCTATCCCACTCCTAATAACCAGATCCATATAGAGGTTTGACAATTTACAAATAAGTTAAGTGCTCGTTTTTGCAGAGGTTAAAAAATAAAAAGTTATACCCACACAAACTTACTGCTCCCTCCAGCCGGTCCCCTTCTACGCTGAAGAGATGGTATGTCCCTCGGTGTCCTCACTTTCTATACCCAGTGTATTGGATGTGATGATTCAGAGACCTTAGACAGCTGCAGAGGGTCCCCCTCATCAGGCTCAGCAATGTCCTGATGAAGGGGACCCTGTGCGGCCCCGAAAGCGCTAGTTCTGATGACGTGATGTTTTAAATAAATGAGCACTTTGGATTACAATACTCTTGGTGTGCTGGTGACATCTATTTACCAATATTGTCTGACGGCGCCATCCGCAGTCATTACAAGCACCCCCTTCTTGTTGGATTGGGGTTCCCGGTAAGGAGTACGGCAAGGTAAAGTCTACGTTTGTTCCTGAGATTGCCTTTAAGGGGACATTTCTGATGTTCAACCTGCTTCATTGAGTTCAGACCTTTAGTACATGGCGCACTAGGGAGAAAGTATGCAGCCATTGTCAAAGTCAACCTTACCATAGGGGGAAGCAAAAATAAACTACCCGTGTTTCCCCCGAAAATAAGAACAGTAGAAAGGCATCATGGCACACTCACAAACTAGCATGTAAAACAACTTGTCTCACCACTAAGGACAATGACAGAGGTTTGGATACACGTCTTCTGCAAAGGATGTGTAAGCCGCACTGCCGCGACAAGGCACCTCTTATAGTGCGGTCCTAACTCTAAACTATGAGAGTCTCCATCTTGGAGCACATGGGGCAGAAGATATCAAATTGGGTGCAGGCTTGTCAGGAGGACGCCCCACCTCCTTAAAAGGTACAGAAACACACAAGGGATCCCGCACATCCCACATGCCTTGGCGCGGCAGTGCGCGTCGCTGCACCAAATCGGTAAAGCAAAACAAACGACAAACGCACTCAACAATTTGTTACCAGTT